TCCTCCGGATTGGGCCATTCCACCGCCAGGCGCATATCACTTGCAAAGCAGACAGTCGTCACGTGATTGTTTTTTTTCTGATCGGCTCGGAGTTGTCCAACCCAGAGTCAGAAGAAGTGTTCGATGAAAGGGAAACCAAAATGACTTGGTTGACGTTGGAAGGGGAACAAACAATTAGATTGTGGCAGTTAAGTGAGGATTTCCCACCAAACCACAATAAGCAAATATGTAAGATGTTTCCCAACAACCATGAAGACGAGAACCAGGGATTAGATGGACGCTCCCATAAGCACAGAGTCAATGGCTTGGACAGGTGCACATGAGATTTGCGATGGCAAATCATTGTAAGCCCCTCCCACCGAATGGCCGGCGCCGGGCAGGCATTTGCATGTCAAGATGTCCAGGCGAAACCAAAAAAACGGGCCACATATTGGTCAAACCCCCCACTAGGGGCGATTTTTGCCTCCCTAAGCCCAATTTGTCCTCGTCTTTCTCTGCCAAGGGCTCAAAGGCTCATACCTACAAACAAAACCATGTGGGGTCTTTCTGGCGTGCCACTATTCGGCGCCACTTTTCGTCTCGCGGTGCCCTTTGACGCCCCGAGAAAGGGCTGGCTCGAGGCGAGAAGGCGCACCGATTTCTGGCGGTTCTCCTTGACGTTGCAGAGATTGCACCGCAGCATCTGAGTCGATGGCGAATCAAACTCCGACTTTGGAGTCTTCAAGGGTCAGCCTGGCTTGAAAAGGACCACAAGTCGTGGTCTAAAGGCCATAAACTCACTGATTCACCAGCGAGCACGCTGCTTCTTTGCGCTAGCTCATTGTCACTGTCATATGAAACACGCCCCCCCAAGCCACGAACACGCCCTGCCTTGCCAAAGGAGCCCTGCAAAACCTGCAGCGAGGCGATTTGTCTCTCTCCCCCTCTCTCTCTTTCTCTCTCTCTCTCTCTCTCTCTCTCTCTCTCTCGCTCACTCTCGCTCTCTCTCTCGCTCTCTCTCTCTGTCTCTCTCTCTCTGAAGCCCGACCCAAGGCTGCGCTTTGGAAATAAGAGAGAGGCTCTTTGGAAAAATAACTGGACCGTTTTGTTTGCTTTGAAGTTACCTGTCTGCAACGGCAAGGTCGCAAGGCGCACATTACTTCGCAGCGGGGCTGACTTCGGTCGTGGCTGAAAGCTCGGATATTCTTGTGTACCAGTTGCCCTTGCTTTTGCTCCGCACGTGAGAAAGCTCCTCCCGAGAGTCATGGCTCAGGGCCGAAGGGCTGGTTGGGGTGATTCTGACTCTGACAGTGCGGGGGTTTGTGGCAAAGCTAATGAGAGGCAAGTCATGGCACGATCCATCCGTTCTTGTTGCCAAGTTTGGTGTTTTATGTGTGGAGATGTCTGATGGGAGGCTAACTGTGCCAACATCGCGAACCCTCACTTTGCCCTCTGCCAAACCGCAACATCTCCCAAAAAGGCCCTCTGCCCTTCAGGCCCTGTGGAGGGGTTCCAAGGCACACCGGCGGGCAACGCTCGGCCGGCACCACGACTCTGACAGCACTCCGGGGCCCGGGCCATGCCGTCTTGGCCCTCGCCGCGCCATGCCAGCGGGTGGCCCATCCAACGACTGGCGGGGAGGTGAGGTCCACGGCTGTTGGGAGAAACTTGCGGCGAGTTGCGGCGCAACGGGTGTTGCAATGTTGGCCCACTGGGATGCTCCGAGAAAAATGGGAGGGTTCAGGGTGAGATGAGTTCTGACATGCAGCGGAGATGGAAAGTAGATGTTTACAAAAATGTGTGGTCCAGTTCAGAAACACTGGGAAGTCTTTGCCGCTCTGTAAACTGCGTCCCTGCTTGGAATGATGTTTGAAAGGACATCAACCATCTCAAGCCAGTGCTGTACAACACACCTTAATGGGAATCTTCATGCTCTCTAAATCCTTACCCCACAGCGCTCAACCCTCGGAGAAGAAACGGGTCGGCCGAGTGCATCCGCAGCCGGTCACCCGGGCGGCCGCTTGCCGCCCCTCGCGCCTGTAGGCAAGATGTTTGCTGATCGGCGGCTGGTCCTGCAAGGAGCCATGCTGAAAGGTCAAGATGGGGTCTGAAATATCGGGAACCCTCAAATCCTATGGTTCTCAATAATGGGCCTCCAATCCCAGGTAGAGACAACTGCGGCCTCTTAGGGGCGAATTAGGCTCCTTTTGGCTTCTGGGGGTCCCCTCTTTGGGCTGTGACAACCATGGGCTCAAAACGAACGGCTGCCCTGTACTTCTCTTAAAAGTACAAAGGGGTAGAGGCGCTTCTCTCTGTTGGGCCTGGCTTTCTACTGCGGCTGTTGTATGTACCATGTTGCTTCCCCAACTTCTCGTGCAGCACACAATCTCTGACTCGCACATCTTGGCAAGCAAAGGAATCGGCACCACAAGCCACCCAAGTCCGAAGTCAAGTCGCAATCACACGACCGAAGACATCCTCATTTCCGCGAACCTCAAATAGGAGAACTTTTCCGAACCCCTTCATTCTTGGGTTCGAGTTTCAGTGGAGGGGTTGATCCAGACCATCAACACAATACATGCTGGCAGGGTGGGGGTGCATTTCCCCAATTCCCACCTTCGATCTGTTGAGGGGTTGAGAACCTTTCCGAACCCAAGGGTTCTCAACTTGGAGGTGTCCTCAAATAGAACCCGAACCCCTTTGAGGGGGTTCTCAACTTGGTGTCCGGACAACTCACTCTGCCGAGTCGCCAGAGTCATGGTGCTCACCCCCGCGGGGATGGTCTCCCACTTCACGAAGTCAGCTGCGCGGGGTTGTTGCGACGAGACCGGTGAACGCCCCGGGAACAGAGTGCAGACGTGCTGTTGTGTTTGTCCTTTCTGTTCTTCTTTCTCTCTTTTTCTTCTTTTTTTTGGGGATGTGCTCAAATGAAACGTGGAATAAAACATACTGTCAGTGGCTCATGACAAAGAATGGCGTGTCATGTCCTGCCTGGTTTCTAGGAGGTGTGGCTGCATGTGCCAAAAAGCATGCATGCACACTGCGATCGGACGATCACAGTCGTGCAATGTGCCACGCTGGTCACGCCTCACTCCGATCTTTTCCAGCTGCTTGGCATAGCCAGGGTCCAAATGTATGAGTGCAGGGCGCAGGTGCATCAAGCCATCCCAAACCAACTGAGAGAAAACACCTTTCAGTGCGTGCAAAAGGCTGCGCAATAAATAAGTGACTGGAGCGTTGGTGACTCTGCGCCCTGGCGTTCACCGGGAAAAAGGCACCATCTGTGCGAAGAGTCTTGCCACGGACCAGCTGTTGGCATTGCCAAGCAACCGGCGCGCAGCCACTTTGCTCGGGCGAGCGAGGAATCGGACAGTGAGAGTCAAGGAGAGAAATAGAAATGCTGGCAGCGGCATATCTCGTGATTTGCCGTCGGGGTGCTCTGCTGATGGGTCCTGATATGGGATGTTTTGAAATGGGGGGGGGGGGGGGCGAAGAAAACGGGAGGCTTCCCTTTGGTTTTCCAGCCAAAAAGGGTGCCCTCGACAAGAAACACCCCGATTTTGCACATACAAGTATGAAGGCTGCCTGAACCTGTTGAACAGCCTTTTCATATCTGCATGAACCTGTGTTGCTCGCAACAACAGTCATGAAGGTAAACTTCCTCGTCTTCCAAGCTTTCAAGCACGAATCCCATCCCCGCCTTCCTGATTTCAGTTTGCTTGGGTCTGCTCGACTTGGGCAGCTTGCTTTAGTCAGCTTGCTCTGGCGTTTCAAAGACGAAGCCCCCCCCCCCCACCACACAAAAAAAGATGGCGGTTGCTGCCTTCAGGGCTCGATGAATCACAGGCAATTTCTCATGGCTTCGATCGGTTTGGGCCAGCTGATCCAGCCATCTGCTTGCAACTGTGCATTCCCCCAATAATCTTCACGTGTGAGTTGTCCCGCCCCCCCCCAAAAAAATAAAAAACAAAAAAAAAAATGGACATATACCTACATAATATATATATATATATATATATAATATATATATATATTACATATATATATATATATATATATTACATATGTGTATATATATATAATGGGCTAGAACTTGTCCAGAAAGCATCCAGCCGCAAAAATCCTCGCCCATACCTCGGCTAGGCTCACTGCCTGGCGCGTTGAAAGAATGCGACATGACCCTCGGGCCTTGGAGAACAAGCTGCCGACCTTTCAAAAACTTGGTTGACGTTGGAAGGAGAGCAAAAATGTAAATGTTGGCGGTTAAGTGGTGGCATTTCAACCGAACCACAATAAGCAAAAATGTAAAATGTGGCCCAACAACAACCATGAAAAGACCATTGGAGGATACATCCAGTTTGCTGCATGGAGGGTCCAGAGACCTGCCAGAAATCTACGAAACTCGACCGCCGGAAAGGGGAAAGATACGAGGCAAGTGGGTCGAAGGTTAAGAAAACGTGCGCGAAGGTGCTGCCGGGCTTGCAAATTGCACTGCACAGGTCTTCACATGGTGCCAAAAAGGGTGGACCCAAAAAGCACACACCCAGGAATAGAGTTGGCTTCCTGTTGCTCGACGTCAGCGACTGACGAAACCGAATCTTTATCCATGGGTTTGCCTTTCGGCGAGGGGGGGGGGGGAACGCACGCACCCTTTGGGCTTCATCAAAGTTTGCGGCCTCGCTAAGCAGCTCTTCCACAGTAAAGCAGAGTCAACTTGGGGCAATCGAAACAAGGGACCCCCCCTTTTCCCCCGCCGCTTTCATATGCGCAACCAACGGCACAACCTCGCCCTGACCCGCCGCATGTGTTCAAGGCCCGGGCTCACATCTTGTCAAGATCTTCCTGGATGATGTCAAAGACCGCATCCGGCTTGCCAGTGCCATCCACCTCGTAGAGCACGTCCTGCCGCGAATCCAAGCAAAATCCGGGGCCCCTTCATTCGATCTTCGATCCTTGAAGAAGGGCGTGATGCCATCGATCTGAGAGTGGTAGTTCTTGAGGCGCTCTCGGATCTTGTCCTCCTTCGGGTCTAGCAGAATGGCGGATGAATAGAACATCTGCATCAACGAGGTCTCATGCAGTTCCCCTAGCCTCTGACAGCGCGGTGAGAATAAAAAAGCTGCATGCCCCGCCGTTTGCTTGTCGATGTTTGACAGTATGGGCTCATGGCAATACCGTGTCCATACAAGCTGCCAAACGCGCTGTTTCCAGCAACCGTCTTTGCACTGCATAGTTCTTCCAGCAATGCCTCGCATGACAACTCTCCTTCAACTCAAACCAACTACCCCATAGCTGGACTGCGGAGGGTTCATCATGACAGCATTGCTCCCGCACATGAATTCGCCAAGTGGAAAACGCCCAGGCCAATCACACTCAAAGCTTGGACTTGGTCCAAAGGCACACGCAGCAGCCTTTCGGCGCTCAGCCGTGTGTCGCATGGACAGGAGAATGATTCTCAGGCCAAAAAACGCTCATCACTTCTCAGTGTTGTCGTCTATGAGCGAGATCATCCTTTTGGTCCTTGGCTTCCCTAACATTCAGAGAGAGTCCACAGCTGGGGGTTCATCAAAAGGTCCTTTACATAGGGTGACCATTGGGGAAAACCACTTAGAAGATGATATGTTCCACGAGATGGGAAAAGTTACCCAGGGTCATTTGGGGGCCAGGAATATCGATCAAGCCCCAACTGGGCCAAGTTGAATGCGCCAATGGAGCATGGAGCCAGTGTCTTGACTGGGATTGCCTTGGCAGAAAGCGTTTCTGCCCAAAAGTCGGCCCTCGACGGCCCGGGCGGGCTGCCCTCCCCGAAATCCCTCGGACATTCTTGCATCAAGAGGGCTAGTGCCTTCCACCACCCCCCTAAACCCGAAAAGCGCCTACTGCAAAATCCAAACTCTAAAGAACACCAAGCCTTCCCCCCCCCCCCTCTGCCAGTGGACCACTCCCCCCCGATTGCACCACCCAAAACCGCCTCCCTCACCTGAAATTTCTCTCAGGTCCCGGCGCCAGGATCTGGCCCTCCACCTCCTTGGCGCGCCCGGCCTCCAGGATCTTCGTGGCCGTGCCCAGCCTCAAACGGCGCGCCGCGGCGCGGCGCGCGCCAGGCGCGGCTGGCCCGGGGCTCTGGTTGCGGGGTGAAAACGTGAACCGGCCCACCGCCCCGGCGCAAAAAGTGCGCTTTTTTTAGGATGCCCTCTGGCAAAAGGTGTGTTTTTGGGGATGCCCGACGCATTCTCGCGGAGAATGGATGGCACCTACTCGGCCAGACTGATCCAGCCTGTCAACATGTCGTCCCAACAAAAACCCTCTGGTTGGGTTCTTGTTTAGGGGTCGTCACCGCGAGCGATGGTAAACGCAAAGCTTCGGAATCTCCCCTTCTGTCAAAATGGTTGAGGATAGAAGGCAACGAAAAGTGAGCTATCAGAAGCTTGAAACAAAGCTAGTTGAGACCTGGAAGTGCAGTCATGACAAGGTCACTTGTCCTCCACATTGCAAGCTTGTCTCAAAGGAAAACTTCCAAATGTTTGGGCTTCCTTTGGTGTCCAAACGAAAAAACGACCCAGCCCGTTTTCTCCACGAACTGCTCCAAGCTCCGAGAGCGCATGAGGCACCAGCATGGCGTTGTAGGAAGCGCGCAACCTCCGCGAGAGAAATGACTCACAATCCTAAAATGGGAAGTCCGCGTTAGATGACTTTAAAGGCCATTATAACACGTGATCTTGGGCAATTTGGGACCGCGAACACACACATCCCCCCCAATACAGTGCCACTTCTTGCTGTGAAGGTCAACTTGTGTCAAAAAGAGGGCAACCCCAACATGGCAAGCCGCCCTGGTTTGGCAGCATGGACCAAACCACCTCACGACGCGCTCAGGCGCCAGCAGCTGGTTCGCGTAGATGCAGATGTTGACGCCGGCCTCCTGGGCTTCAAGCCCTGAACGGAAGCTTGAGTCACAATCAAAACCCGGTAAAATCGTCGTAATCCCAGAACCATGTAAAGAATAAGGGCGGATTTCCGCATCTATTTGAGGTTGGGACTCACCCGGATGAAATTGTGGCCCACCTGTACTGGTCTCATGAGAAGCTGGTGTCTCCCTTTAACAGCAAGCATTCATGATTGCCTTGACGGGCGACCCTTGCCCTCTGTTCAAACCAGTTCTGGAGCTTGATAAACTTCACGGTGCAATCTGTGTGCTGGTTCGTGTTTTCACCCATCTGGTGGGTCCACCAGGAATGAGGAGGGATTTTGAACAACAGAATGCCCCAACCATTGCCTTCCCCTCAAAACACGTCCTGCAACTCTTCCTCCGTGACGTGGTTATACGTCGTAGGCACCGCGATCACAGGCACGTCGGGGAACTGGGCGGAGCAGACGCCAGACGGCAGATGGCAAGTGGCAAGTGGCAAATTGACATGGAACCCAAAACGAAGGTTCACGAGGTGGATACCTCAAAGAATGAGAGTTATTTTTGCTCCTTGTCAAGTAGTTTGACAAAGGGCGAGCAAGCGGCCAGTGCACTCAAGCGGCCAATCCACTTTGTCTGGGTTGGGAGTGAGACTTTTTGCTCGCACGATGCAAAGGTGTTTTTTCTTTTTCCGCGCCTCTGCCCTCCAGCGCCTCATGAAGGAAAAGATGTCGGCACCCTCCTTCTCCTCACACAAAGGCATTTTCAGGTATCGGTTCGCGGAGAATAGAGGTGTACTACTTGCGTAACGGGTAGATACCCTTATAGAAACCACAAGCCAGAACCCTCCTGTCAGCCTCCATGATTGTTGGAGAGAGGGCATCTTATTGGTGACCGCTACATGTTGTGCCTGCTTGATGCGTCGGCTATTACTATTGGGATCCACAGACTTGCGAAAATCGCTCATATGAGCTAGAAAGACATGAGCAAGGCTTGCACCAACAATGTGGCATTCCCTGAAAACGCACCTGGACCTCGAAACGCGGCTCCCTTTCTGGCGATTAACTTGGCCCTTCTTGGGAATCTTGGGAACCTCTCTGAGATTTCCCGGCCAAGTCTGCGTCGTTCCTTTAAGCGGAGAGTTGGTCAGCCCTGCTTCCTTAAGAACAAAAAACAAGCCGAAAAAGTTCTTCCCGCTCGAGCTGCCCTTGCCTTGGAGTGGATCATGACGCCATCTGCGCCGCTCTGCACATAGGCTCTGGCCCGCCGCAGGCACTGCGCAAGCTCAAGGAATGTCAGCCCAACACGTCCACGCCCACACCAGACTTCCGGTGTGGCTTTCGGCAAGTACAGGAGATGACTTGGCCATGAGGGAATTGTGCAATCTATTTTCAGCCAACCGGAAATGCAGGAGTCATGGCATGCATGATTGTGTGTTCGTGTGCGGGAACACACGCGCGCACGTTTGTGTGTGTGTATGCGCCTGTGCGTCTCTGGGTGTCCCTGCACGTGTCTCTGCTTTTCTCTGCACGAGACTCTGCTTGTCTGTCCGCGTGTGTACATCTCTGTGTCAGTCTGTCAGTCTGTCTCAGTCTGTCTGTCTCCGTGTGTACGTCATTGTGCCTAGCCTTCGGAATTCGAATGCCGTGAGGCCTTTTTCGCTTCGTGTCACCCATTTTGAAAAGAAACAAAATATACATGGCTCTCAAAATGGTTCCCGCCAAAATGAATGGGGAGTCATCACCTTTGCAAAGGCAAACAAAAAACGCATGTGCACATCTGCATCCGTTGGCACATGTTGCCACCCTCGGTGGGGAGTCGTTTTGGGCACTCACAAGCACATCTCCTCTCGCCTCCTCCTCCCCCAGGCCAGCGATGAGCGCCTCTGCAGCGCTGCAAACCCGGAAAAAGTGATACAGCTTGATATCTCCAGGAGAGCTTGTGTATGCAAACCAAATATGATAAGGATACCCCTAGAGAACTTTGCGGGGTTTTAGGTAGAATGGCTCACCAGCAGTTTCCTTTCACCCACTGAACCACGTCAGGTAGTACCATTGATCCTGTCCGTAATGCAATGTAACGCAGCGTAGTGTAATGTCATGTATTGTAGCGAAACGTAACTTAATTAATGTATCGTAGCGTAACGTAGTGTAATGGAATGCACATTTGAAGTGATGTAATGCAATGTGTTGTCATGTCATGTCATGTCACGTATGTGTACATATAATGAATAGACATCCCATTTGATTGGTTCCCAAAGACCCCGTTGAACAGCTTCAGGCGTTTTGTGCCCTTCAAGACTTTCGATCGCCTTCAAAACCGAATGATTTTTCCCCCAAAGGTCAAATACGCGTGGCACACATTTCCCCCTTGAGCTCGCCCCCTTGCCGGCCTCCAGCCTTGCAAAGATCATGAAGTCTTTGGTGACCTGGTCGATCCAAGCAAAGTCTCAAGGTCCCTGAAGGGTCTCAAGTCTCCCAGCCACTGGCGGAAACGAAAAAAACAATCCGCAGACTGTGCCGAGCAGCCCTGTTTGCTTGGCCCTCTTTTCTTGAATCCCCCAAACAAATGATGGATGTTTGATCCAAACATCTAGCCGCTGGCCGTCTGAGCTGGAAAAACGAGGAAGCTTCTCGCCTGCGCATCCTTGCCGGTGCGGATCTTGTCACAGAAGACCTCCACGTCCTTTGCAGCTGGGTGGGCAGGCAAAAGTGGGCTTCACCACCATCTGGGTGGAAGAAGAAAAAAAAACGTCAACGAGTCTTGGGTGCTGCTCCGGGCTGTCAAAGGTCAGGCCCCTCAAAGGTCCACGTCTTTGGTGGATGAGCGACAGCAACTATTGAAGTGAATGGCTTCAGAATGCCCGCCTCCACTCCGGGTCGAACCCCGCTTGTGGCCGCGCACCTCCCCACCACCGCCCACCCACCGTGACCCACCGCCGCCTCGAGCTCCTGGGTCCGCTCCGTGCCGAAGAGGCTGTTCTGCTTCAGGCCGCGCCTAACTTCCGCAGTTTCCACCGTCTGTGGGTCAAAGCCGTTTGGGATCCCATTTTGGGATAGGTGAATTCACCACAAATCAATGGGATCCCAGTTTGGGGCTTTTGGTGCACCACCCATT